ACTAGCAGCAATGGCCTCAAGCTGCAGCATGGGAAATTTAAGTTAGAGGTTAGGAGGAGCTTTGTGACTATGATGGTGGTCAAGCAATTGCAACAACCTACCTAGAGAAGTTGTGGAATCTTCATTCTTGGAACCTTTCAAGAGCAGGTTGGACAGACTCAGCTGGGATGGTTTAGTCAGGAATGATCCTTCCTTATGGAGGGGACTCGACTACATGACCTTGTAAGGTCCCTTCCAGCCCTACTTTCCTATGATCAGGAATACCACCACTATGTGCACAATTTCAGAGTCTTGAACAGAAAGAACCTAGCAGCTGAAAGAATACTGCCATTCAGGAAGTTCTCTCTTTTTTTTTTTTTTAAAGTATCCAGCCTCATGCTGTCTGGCAATAACTAGAACTAGGCAGGTGGCAAACTCTTTTAAAGGACAAAAATGCATCTGCTAAATTAAAAACACTGTTCTCTCAAACAAGTGTTTGATCTCATTTGTTATCTCAAAAACCTAGTAAGAAGCTTACCAGTACATATTTTACATTTCAGTATCTGTAACTCTTGGAAAAATGCAAAGCTATTACCTGAAGCAAATACCTATTTTTATAAACAATGGAGAAAATTTGTTTGAGTACTCAAAGCTACCACATGCTGATAAAAACAATAATATTTTACAGTTTGGCAGAACATCTGTTTAAGGGGACAATGCTGCCAAGCCAACCATCACCAATGGAACCAGAATTAAAAAAAACTAACAACATGTTTTTTTTTTTTAACAACATCTAGAAGTGTTCGGAAACCAAACTCACATACTTCAAATGACCTTTAAGATTATATCTTAACATGTAATCAATATGCATTAAAAAAATCTTGAATCCAAAACCTCTTACCTGCAAGACAGATGTTTTTTTTCTTAACAAGTAGCAGAAGCCAAGCCAATCCTGTGGGCAACCAATTAAAACCAACTTTTAGACTGCAATAAAGAATAAATGGAGGCAAAAATCAATGCAGGCAACACAACACAGGTGACAGTCCACAATGAACTGTATATTTAGAAAGTTCACGTGTGAGACCACCACAATGCACTGCAACATACAGCAACCACAAGAATAAGATTTTTTAAAAGTTTAATATAGCCAATCCTTACACCAGTGTCACATTTTGATAACTGCATTGTTTAGTTTTATTCTGATCATTCTAAAATCATGACTGTGCCGTATTGGAACATAAGTTATACATAAGTTAAAAGTCAGAAGACAGAATTTAACAAACATCATTTTTCCCAGAAAAGGGAATTAGTTATCATCTCATTTTAAAGGCAACGGTTATATACAACCTCCCCCTACTTCCTCAATGCAGGATCAAATCCTAAACTTTTGGGTTATAACAGAAATTAGTGTTAGTAACCAGTTTTACTAACACTATCAGGACAACTGCTTCTTAATTCTGCACCTACCTATTCAATTTGAGCAAAATTAAGTTGCTGCTAAGGAAAATCTCTGACAACTACATACACCAACATCCTCCCGTGAGCCAACAAAACCTGTTCTAGTCAAGTTACATCTCAGAGACTTTACAATACCCTCACTTCCACACAGCATTCTGAAAACTGTCTACTGTGAACCCGTCTATCTGCAGTCTACTGCCCTATAAATACATCAAGAAATTAAAATGTTAGTAATTTTTTTAGCTTAAACTTATTACAATTCTATCCCAGGCATTGTAAGAATGAGCAAGAAAGCCAAGATATCTCTACTGAAATGTTCATCTGTATTCGTGCCTGGAAAAAACCACAGCCAATAATTGGTTTGCTTGCGGATGGAATCTCTCAAACTATATTTGTCTCTCTGGAAAATTCCCTACAGAAAGGTCACATAACTAGCAAATAAGACAGACATGATCAAGAAAATTATGAATCAAGATTCTTAATGTTAACAGAGGCAGCGTCTGTTACAAAGGGTTATCAACAACTTTTATCTATGAACTGCTTTAAAGGAAGCCACAAAGCTTACACTCCAGATGGAATTCTCTTTTAAGAGATAAAATGAGCATAGTGATTCCTAAAAATCTTTTTCAAAAGTAGGATTCCAGATCTATACACAAGAAAAATGCAACTGAAACTTCGCCTTTGATACAAGTACCAAAGAGTTTTAAGACTGAACAACCTCCAATTAGAATTCTCTGCTTCTAATCTAGCCCCATTGCAAATAAGACTCAACAATACAAAACTATGCAACCCTCTGAAGCACAGCTTTCACATAGTTTTATCCATTTGATAACAACTTTCATATACATACAGCATTTCACCAGAAAAAAAATCTTAAGTTACTCAAAATATTTCCCGTTTAGAGGCCGAGTAGTATATACTTGTCTAGAAACTTTAAAAAGACATAATAGGCTAAAATCCATGTTTTATATCCCCGCATTAGACTACAAAATGCCATCATAATATGCAAAATTACACAACTTTCTTCAAAAAGATTAAAAAATGCAAAGCTACAGTCCACCATATTTCAACTTTCCATAGCATCATGTACCACCAGTCACATTATACTTTACACAAACAAGTTAAAACTTAACTGAAAAAATATTTTAAAACGCAGATTTCTTTAGGTATGTACCAACATTCTTTCACTCCAATTTAGCACTCAAGAACATATCACCTAGTCACACAGCCAAATAGAGTATAAAGTAGGTATACTGCTTCCCCATACAGAACTGACAACATACTTCAATTCTGACTATAGATGCATGCCTTTATTAAAGAGATTCAACCACTAAAGTTCTCCAGTGAACAACTGGCAAGGAAAAGCACATATGGTAGACTAGGTGCTTTGTTGACTGGGATGAAATATAAGTTGTTCTGATCTAAAGAGATTTTCTATGTGGGGACTGCTGATCTATTTACCCAACCCAAGCACTTGCAGAGTTGTGTATCATGGGTCACCTTCAAGACAATACAAGAACTAAAACAATGATTTTATTCTCACAGGAAAACATTTTAGACAGAATTTAGCATAACATGCTTCAGAGATCATAAATGCATCTAGACTTTTAATCAGACCTAATGCCACCCCCCCCCACAGCAATATCCAGCTTACAACACCACAGTTAACTTGTTATATACACTAACCTTTGATTTGGTATCACTACACATCCTCTAAATATAATTATAGTGGGGGGCAGGTGTCCTGGTAAAGGAGAGACATTTACCCTATAAAAATTGTTTCCTTCTTATTCCTTATAGTATTCCCAGAAAGAGAGATACGGGCATACTTTACCAGCCTTTCCAAATAAGCTCTACTTTGCACCAAAAGCACACCTTCATGGTGACATCACTCCAAAACAGGAGTCTCTTTATGCAAACAACACCACTGTGGATGGGCGCACATGGTGAAAGAAATGCACAACTGTCCAGAGCCACTAGCAAGACTGAGTAACCCCACCGTGTCTTTACAAGGGGCTGCACGGATTTCTTTCAGCACTTACTGACTACCCCCGAGCTGCAGAGCTAAGCTCACCAGGAAGACTCAGAGTGGGGCACCGCATTCCTCGAGCCAAGCCAAACAAGCCAACTAATGAAGCACTCACTGTCAGTCAGACACGGGCCGCTCACAGGCTGCACATCCTGCAACGAGCTATCGCCCGAGCATGCGTTCTTACAGCTTTAAACCAGCTCCAGCCCCGCCACGGCTCATGCTTCGCCCGAGTCGGACACGCCACGCCGCGCTCGCCCCTCGCTGCTGCTGCTGCTGCTGGTCGGCCGCCGCCTCCCGCGCTCGCAGGGGCCGTGGGAAGGAGCCGCAGCAACGCAGGCTCTACACGGGCGCCCGGCGAAGCAAGGCGAGGCCGGGCCGGGCCTCAATCCCGCCGCCGCCTGAGCTCTGGCCACACAGACTCACCTGCCCGCGCAGCCGCCGCGGCAGCAACGAGCG